TCTGGGCCGCCAGCGCACATTGCCGGCTCATGTCCAGCTTTTCATCCACCAGCACCCCCAAGTCCCTCTCGGCAAGGCTGCTCTCGATCCTTTCTTCCCTCAGCCTGTATTGATACCTGGGGTTACCCCGACCCAGGTGCATGACCTTGCACTTGGCCTTGTTGAACCTCATGAGGTTCACACAGGCCCACCTCTCCAGCCTGTCCAGGTCTCTCTGGATGACTGGATGACATCCCGTCCTTCTGGTGTGTCAACTGCACCACTCAGCTTGGTGTTCGGTGCTCGGTGGTCTTCCCCAAGCTGAACGCACTCCTGCTCGCAGCCCCCCTTGGTAACGCTGCAGGGATTGACAGCTGGAGCCGAGGAAACATTGAAGGAGCGCATGTCAACCACCCAAGAAACTTATTTCCTATTTTAAATACATAAATGACAGGAAAAATATGCGAACCTCGCCAAACGGCTTTCATAAATGCACCTGTGTCCCCGTTACCCTGCCTGGCATTCGCGGTGCTTGTTTGACACAGCGTCCTGCGCCGGCAAAAGCCTGTGATTCCAGCAAGAGGCGGGTGAGATCTAAGAGCTGTGATGCTGACTGAAGTACAGCCACCCTTTGATCTGACAGCAGCAAAGCACTTGAGAATCCACTGAGCTAAGGAGGGGAAAAAAAAAAAAAAAAAAAAAAAGCCCAGCCCCACTGGCACTTTCCCATTATTTTGGGTTTGTTTTCTTTTTTTTCCTATGCCTGCTATCAGTGATTTTAAAATAAATAAATAAATAAAATTATCTTTCAGGCTGATTTCCTCGGCCTCATGCATAGGAAGCTGCAAACGACACGAGCCACAAGCTCCGCAGGCCAGACTTACAACGCAAACCGCAAGGAACATTTTAGTACATCTTTAGTACAACTCCAAAGACGCTGCTGCTTTTACCCAGGCAAATTAATATATTTTTTTTTTTGTTGTTCAACGTATATCCCTGGCCTCTGCAGAAACATTTCTCCTCCTGCCAAAATACATTAACAGACACCCACACCTATTCGCACGGTGCATATAAAAATAAGACCGACTGTCTGAACCTGTTATTGTGCAGCACGTACGTAAGCGTGAGCGTGCGCATGACTGCATCTATATATATTTTAACAGCAGGGATGTGTTACGTTCTCCATGAGTAGCTGGGAAGACTATTTGCTCCTTCGTGGAAGGCATGAAACTCTGGACCCAAGGAAGTCAGCAAAGAGCTTTGATATTTATTTTAGGAATATTAATATTAATTCATTTATCTGTAATTGACATTAAGAAAACATTAGCCACAAAAACTGCTGGAGGATGCATTTCACCCTACGCTACCAATTAGCAATTACTTGGCTTGTGCGGTCAAATCTGTGTTAAAAAGACAAAAAGAAAAGCAGATTTTTACACTGTCATGGATGCATACACAGCAGCAGCCAGGAGACACCTCACGGCACACTGGACCCGACCCTGGCGTCTGATCTCCACCCGTGCCTGCAAACCTGCAATGTAACTTGAAAGCAGCTCGATTTCTACGTGGGAGACAGCAGACCCAATACACTCAGAGCTTCCCTGCTCGCTGCACATTTGTATCCCAAGACCTGTTTTTCAGCAAGAATATTCAAATAAGATGAAAATATTTCAGAAGATGAAAAACGCCTCAAATCGGCTCCAAGCGACAGAATACACATCTCAATTTTTGAAAGTGCCATCTTCTCCCTCCTTTTCTGGGCATAAGCCAAATTGGATGCAAGGGGAGATAAGAAGCAACCTGCCACACTGAGAATTTTGGAGGCTTTGAAGCCAGAAGGGGACGGGTGCAAACTCCTGCGCTGAGTGCTTGGGCCAAGCCGCCTGGCCCTGCACAGGGCTCTGCCGGTGGCTGGGGAGCGAGGGACCATGCCGGAGCGGTCATGGCCAGGTTTGTCACCGCCTGCTACCGAGGCATCACAGGGGCTCCGGGAGAAGGTGCCAGACAGGGAAGGAACAGGATGAATTGTGCTTGTGCTGCCAGGTGCCGGCAACGCATCTTTGGTCAGAACAAGGGAGCGATTTGGCATGTCACGAGTTGCATTCCACCTGTCCTAAAGGGGCTTGCGGCTAGAGGTCTGAGCACGTGCGTGGGGCTCAAGCAGAAATACGGCACGCCCTCCGCTTTCAAAGATTTACGCTTGAAGTTTGGTAAAAAACCAGCCCAGCTGGCGAGCCCTGGCAGGCACAGCGGTACGTGCCCGGCCTGGGGGATAACCCCTGGCGATGCCAAAAGCATCGCAGGAAGGGGGGTGGTGGCGGGAGGCAGCATGCAGCAAAGACAAAGTTCTGCTGGTGGTTGAGAAACATACATTTCTCAACCCATTATTTTCGATAATAATGCTCACATCTGAACAGAAAACCCTGCGTATGAAGCCATAGATGGATGTATACGTAGCAACCATGGGGTTAGAACACACAGTCTCTTCAAGCCTATGCCTTCCACCACCTCAAGTCCAACCTTATCAATGACAAGAAATGTAACTCCAGGCATATCACTTATGTGGAAAACCTCAGATTATAGATGTGTGGAGATAATTTCTTTGGGGCTTCCTCTATTAAGAGCCTTGGTGTGTGAAAGTCACCATAAACCCCCACATCTCAACAGCTTTTCTACATAAGGCAGACATCAAAGATAACAGCTGGCACCAGAGATGAATCAGGCTCTAAAGACTGTGCTCTGCTGTCACTTCCAGGAGTTCAAACAAGAATAAATTCCAGGGAAGACAATGAATTTACATCATTCCAAAACCACAGCCTGATACCACAATAAACATGTTATCTGTCTGAGTTTCTGCTTTCCAGACACCAGTCAGTTAAACTTTAAGAAAGTTAATTTCATTACATTATCATAATCAAGGCATTAAAAACAAAACAAAACAAAATGGGCAGTGTTACCTTTGGTTATTCTAATTACCTTACTTGTAGTGAACATTCGGTCTGGCACATATATCTAAAAATGAATTTAATATTGAACAAAATCTGTGGGACCAAAAAGCTAAGAAAGAAAAGGAGCATTGAAAAAGATGGGATTCTGGCATGGCACAAAGTATCAGAGACCATCAAAGGATTCAAGAAGAAAGCATTTCACTTTCATTGAACAAGCCAACCCATTTTAGAGGTTGGTTGCTTTGGAGTACCAGCAGAAGTTTCGACAGTAGGAGGAATGACAAACAACAGATTTCTTCAAACCATGTATTTTGAGGATCCCACTAGCAGTGGAGAGATGGACCACAAGTGGTTAGTCACTGTGATGATGTGGTACGAGGAACGGACTTGCCGGAAAAATCTTGTGACAGAAATTCAGTAATCTTCCATGCAATCACCCGAGAAAGTAGCTTATCCTATGTTTTTGACTCTTTGGATGAAAGTTGAATATCTTATAAGATGATAGATTCACTTCCTTATGTATGGGAGACTTCCAAGCCATCCAGGCTGCAAAATCTGCTTCCCCTCAAGTGATTTTGGCACTTTTGCTCCCAGAAACACAGGGCTGCCAAAAAGAAAAAGACGACGTGGAAAGAATGAGCATAACAGAAATCTGGGCTGGGTTCGTCTGAAAAGCCTGTCCAAAGGGATGCTTGTTTCTCATTCTGCAGCTGAGATAACCACCTTCCATAAACAGCTCACTTCCAGAACGGAGTCCCTTTTTATTCTTAGTATGTGGGAGAGATTGTTAGATCCTCTAAAGTATCCACGGAAGAAATATTATTAATACGAGGAGCAGCTGAGGGAACTGGGGCTGTTTAGCCCTCTACAGCTGCCTGACAGGAGGCTGTAGCAAGGTGGGGGTCGGCCTCTTCTCCCTGGTAACGGGTGATATGACGAAGGGAAATGGTCTGAAGTTGCGCCAGGGGAGGTTTAGGTTTGACATTAGGAAAAATTTCTTCACCAAAAGGGTTGTCAAGCACTGGAAGGGGCTGGCCAGGGGAGGGGGCGAGGCCCCCCCCCT